AAAAGATGCTATGTTTTCAGGGAACCGATTTGTAGTTAAGGGGATATAGTGATGTTGATTAAGCAGTAGATCTAGAAGAGCACAAATCGACTTCGAGTTATGTCTTCTTGCTAAGATGCGGTGCAGTCTCATGGTGTAGCAAGAAACAGTCATGTGTCGCTCTCTCCACTATGGAGTCTGAATACATTGCTTATATTGTAGTAGTACAAGAAGTCCTATGGTTGCAGATATTCCTAAGAAACTTGGGTGTTGTCACAACCTATAATGAGTTTGTCACTGTATTTTGTAATAATATAGCAATACTTACTTATGCAAAAGACCCTAAGTACCATAGAAAGACATTGATGCCAGATATCACTATGTTCGAGACATTGCTGCGTATGGACATGTGGTGTTAACTCATATTCCTACAACTAAAATGGTGGTGGATTCCTTAACTAAGGCAATAGTCAAGCCCGCGCATTAAACGTGTAAAAAATATAAGCCTCAGGATCTCATAAGTTTACATCACACTATAGGATCTTGATACCCTGTTATAATGGAATATGGATGTTATTTGTGTTATGATTGATGGTTTGTGCACTTCAATACATACAGGAGCACAATAGTATAAGATTATCATTTAATTCATCGGCAGGCTAAAAGCTCACTACTTATACAAGCTACCCTTAATATCCAAGATATTGGAGGATGAGATATACACATAGAGTGTTAATCATCTGAACCAAGGGTTCGAGATGAGATTCCATAAGGGAATTGACATGATCTATTCAAATTGACGTCCCTAAGATCATATAGCCTGTAAGTTGTCAGGGATAAACATCAGGGATGTTCAGGTTGACACATAGATGAGACTATGGGACACTAGGTGACTACCTGTTTCATGGCTGTGAAAAGACTATAACCTGCATAGTATGGATTCCGACGCATAATTGATGCAGTCCACCGTGACATGTGATTCATACCACACGTGCTATACTAGTGAACACCTACTCGTATGGAAAAATATGATCTATGTTCCTTTTTACCTCTATATAAGACTAATAAGTAGGTAACCCATGATGTCATCATAGACCTTAGACTGCATTACGAAACTTTGCTTCGATCATTTACTTTGGTATATACCCCTTTGGGTCAAGTATGGGATCGTTTGGTATGTTGCTGAGATAATGGTCAGGGTAGAGTAGAATAATATAGGTTGTAAGGGAAGACCATTAATATCACACTCTGTTTTGGTACCACAAGAAAACATGACACATTCTATACGCATTGAAAGCAATTGTGTAGGAATAGGCTAAGTAATATTCCGAGTTGGACTCATGAGGGATTAATTAAGAACTTAGTCCGGTGTGGTCAAACTGGGTCTAGGGCAGATGGAACAGTTTTCATTTTGCAGGTATTGGAGAAATGAGTTGTTCTATACTAGTTGGTTGGAAACTTGGTATAGTTTTCTCTAAGAGAATGTTCACTCCAGTAGATCATACACCGTATTTTTCCTTTGTATGAAAGAATACTCACAATGCAATAATGAACGTCAACTCTTATTTGGGTATGTAATCCCTCCTACATACGAGATAAGTGGGAGATTTAGACATGAGAATGCATCCCTAGTGTGAGGGCACTTCCATGCGGACTACACTCTCTTCATGACTTAAGTTACTTCATGAAGGGAGGTGGGGAGACGCTGCACCTCTTCATGAGAGGGCTACCCTCCCATGAATGACATGCATCATGCATTCTAATGGGCTCCATTCGGACGCACATAATTTCAATCGTGGAAATGCTTCTCCTTTACCGCCATTTATGAGTGATAGTCACATCAGCTTAATACACTACTCATGGGTATGCATATATTTTGAAACCCAACTTGTCACCAAAACGTTGAGAATCCCATCACGACAAAGGGGAAAATGAAAACTCTTTACCTCTGTTTGAAAGGAGAACTTCTTTGATATTTTTTTGAGATTGCAAATAAAGGTGATTATGGCTATCCAAGCAATATGACTACTACGACATATGAACGAGTACTTAACTTGGGCGCTTAACTAGGCTAATCACCCATGATGGGTAAATAATGCATATTTGGCTTGGTTAGACTGGCCAATACTGGCTAGTTTAGGCATGTGTCCTAGGTTCGTGGTCCAATTGTTTTAAGTAGGCAGAGGTAGGGTTCAAGGAGCTCAATCCAGCATGCTCAAGTCCTAGTTTCGAGTACAACTGAGCCTAGCCTTATTCACGTAATATTTAAAGTAAATTTTTTTAATAATATAATAAACTTAACCTATTGACCTCGGGCTGGCCCATCCCGACTAACACAATTTGGCTAGGTTGGGCTGTGCATGAGCACTCCAGTAGACATCTAATAAGCCGGTTTAGGTTGAACTCAACCTGTCGGGCGGGTCGGGCCCAAATCAATTAAATACTCAGATCAGGCCTGGTCTAGGCATTCCATATTCCGCACAACACTGGTTCTCATGGAAAATGTTGTTTATGGGTTCAAATCATTTGAAGCTAGGTCAAACCTAAACCTGAACCAAGCGATTATAAGTGTGTTTGTTCGACTCAGCCCTTATCTTGGACGTTACAACTATGGATGTGCCTAAAAGTTGCTTACGGGTAGAAACCAGCATTATCAAAACTGTACCAAACTAGCAGGTTTGACCTGTTGGATCCTCTATCGGATCCAAAATAGGTTTGGTTCAATACAAATCAGATCTTGAGAAAGCCAAAATTTAAAAATCTTATACTACAAATTCTTCATAAATTTTATGGTTTTGACCTGTCTTCACTAGTTCAACTAGTTCGATGATCGCTCCAAATGCTAATTGCAATGGAATGAGCACTTCTCTAGTTCGGTGACTCAACTAGTTCTATGATCGCTCCAAATCCTAATTGCCATGGAATAAGCACTTCTCTAGTTCGGTGACCATTTAGGGCCTGTTTGGGCACATGCATTTTGGGGTATGGATTTTTTAATATTTTGGATAATACTGAAATTCATCGTTTGGTTTGTTCAATGGCTAGGATACTAAAATTCCGTGAAAATTAGTTCAATACTGAAATTTTCACTGTTTGGTTTAATCGAACGCTAGGATACTAAAATTATGTGAAAATTAAATCTTGAAAAATCACCTAACTTTTCCATGATTTTATTTCCACACCAAAATCTAATTTTTTGAATTTTCAATGCCCATGGTTCCACTCGTCGCCACCCCCCCTCCCTCCCACCCCCGACCCGAAACATAGGGAATATTTGGTAGGCATGAAAATTTTAGAGAGACAAAGTGCCTAAAATTTTTTAAAGAGAGAAACTATATCAAACTTTAGAGAGAGAAAGTACATGAAAAATTTTAGAGATAAACTATCTGAAATTTTAGAGAAGAGAGACTATATCCAATTTAAAATTTTAGAGAGAGGGAATCCCAAAATTTCAGGGAGAGAAACTATATCAAATTTTAGAGTTAGTACCTCAAAATTTTTAGAGATAAAAACTACCTCAATTTTTTTAGATAGAGAAACTATTTCAAATTTTTTAGAGAGAGAAATTATCTCAAATCTTAAATTTTTAGAGAGATGAAGTATACTAAAAAGAGATGGAAACTATATCAAACTTTAGAGAGAAAACCACTACCTACAATTTTTTAGAGAAATAAATATCTCAAAGTTTTCAAAGAGAGAAATTATATCAAAATTTAAGTTTTAGAGAGATAAAGTACATTAAAAGTTTAGAGATAGAAACTATATCAAGTTTTAAAAATAGAAACTACCTGAAAAATTTATCGATAGAGAAACTATCTCAAAATTTTTAGAGAAAGAAACTATATCAAATTTTTAATTTTTTGAGAGAGAAAATATATTAAAAATTTAAAGAGAATTTATATCAAATTTTAGATAGAGATACAGCCTAAAAAATTTTAGAGAGATAAACTATATCAAAAGTTTTAGAGAGAGATGTTATCTCAAATTTTATGTTTTAGAAAGAGAAAGTATCTTAAAATTTTAGAGAGAGAAGCTATATCAAAGTGTAGATAGAGAAAATACCTGAAATTCTTAGAGAGAAACTATCTCAAAATTTTTAGAGAGTGAAAATATCTCAAATTTTAAGATTTAGAGAGACGAAATATATTAAAATGTTAGAAAGACAAACTATATTAAATTTTAAAGAGAGAAACTATCTCAAAATTTTAGAGAGAAAACTATCTCAATTCTAAGTTTTAGATAAAGAAAGCATATTAAAATTTAAGACAGAGTATCTATATCAAATTTTAGAGAGAGAATGTACTTAAAAAATTTTAGAGAGAGAGACTATCTCAAAATTTTTAGAGATAAATTATTTCAAATTTTAAGTTTTAGAGAGAGAAAGTTAGAAAAACTGTATCATATTTTTGAGAGAGAAATTGCCTAAAAATTTTTAGAGAGAAATCATTTCAAATTATTAGAGAAGGAAACTATCTCAAATTTTAAGTTTTAGAGAGAGAAAGCAATTTAAAATTTTAGAGAGCGAAACTATATTAAAGTTTAGAGAGGAAAAGCACCTGAAATTTTAGAGAGAAACCATCTCAAAATGTTTAGAGAAAAAATTTCAAATTTTAAGCTTTGGAGTGAAAGTATATCAAAATTTTAGAGAGAAAAACTGTATCAAATTTTGTTACTAAATAATGGACATAGAAATTATTGTAAAGAATCAATGAATTTTGTATAATTTATCAAAACAAGAGATTTGGGGAATCCATGATAAGAATCCTGGATGTTGAAAATCCGTCAATTTTTTGGGATTCCAAACATCTAAGATCCCTAATTTCGCACAAGCGTCGACAATGAGGCCTGAAATGTAGTGTAATGGCTTTCGCCCATTGTACTTCCAAAGAGGAACCAAATTAAACTACTCAACACTTTCAAAGAATAACTCTCTCAAAATTTGTGAAATGTTTTTCTTTTTTTATCATGAAATTCTCTTCTTTTCTCATGTATATGACTGAACAGTAGTAACAAGAATTGAAGAAACAAAAGGCAAGGCATGGAAATTTGCCTTGTAGCAAGGTATGATAAAAATGTGACTGATCTCCGTCATTTTCAGAGGGATGACATCCTTTCTACACAGAGTAAACTAACTGAGACTGAGAAAGGCGAAGTTTTGATGTGTTGAGCCTAGCAAAAACACCAACTAGCGGTGCGGTGTTGTAAGTACAGGCTTCTGTTTGCATATAATTTCCCCTATGATCGCTGAAATTATCAAGATTATCAGGCCCTCCAACAAGGGCTCCAACAAGAACATTAGGATTGGGTCTTGACCGACTATACCAGTGGTCATAGCCCTGGGTACAACCTATGAAACCCGAGTTCTCCTTGTATGAAACAATGGATGCTCCTCTGTGATGTATGTTAATGGGGTAGTTGGAACCAAACCCCACTAAATAGCTCATTTCCCTTGGGTTAGAACCCAAAATGTAATCCACTTGAGACTTGGCAAACTCAAGCATCTCTTGGGGCCTCACTTCTTGTCCTACACAGTTGAGAGTTTTGTTTGCTTTCTGAAGATAATCGGAATAAACTGTCAGTAAAAATGTGGCGGTAGACACATATTGCATGTTGTTCCATTGGCGAACATAGATTAAACGGCCTGGCGTCAAGTCGACATTGCTATCGTTGTTCTTTTGTAGGCAAGAGCACAGGTAGTGCTCAGCCTTACATTGGTATTGTTTCAGGACATTGGCATACCTCTCTTGCTTCCCTTCCATGAGTACCTGTTTCATGAACATACATTAAGCATGGATCAAGAAGATGGTAATTGTGATTATCATAACAAGAAGAAGAGGAATGAATATAAAATTTGGTACATGCCATCTTCTCATTGGGGCACACCTATAAAAAATATTAAAAATAATTTTTCGATAAAATATAATGGTCAAATTACGCTTTGAAAATTTCAAAGGGTATTTCGGTCATTTTATTTTATTGAAAATATTTTTTTTATATTTTTCACTAGGGTGAGTTTAATAGAGGAATGAACGACCAAATTTTGGTGCCAAAATAGTTTATAAAAAAAATTTAAAAATAAAATGGTGTAGAGACGTGATATTGTGATTGGGGAATCTTAATCCTCCATTCAGAATGGATAGTTGGATAAGGGGAAGTAGATAAGTTTTATGCTGCAGGAGAAGCATAGAAAACTTGCCCTTCTTTTTTTGTGATTGTTCAATAAAAACAATGTACATTTAAAAATGGGAAAGTATTTCCTTAACCTCTATTTTTAAGTTTCATTTCTCAATAGATTTTAGGTTTCAAAATATATCTTGAGACATAGAAATCTTGCGCGTTCTATATCTTCTAACCCTCTAAAATAATTTTTACCCATTTTAAACCTATTTTTAGCCTAAACAAATTTAAGAAAGACATATCATTTCTAAATTCCATCTTCTCTCTCTTCTCCAAACTTATCTCTTTCTCTCTCTTCCCCAAACTTCTCTCTTTCTCTCTCTCCCATAAGTTTCCCCAAAGATACCCTCTTTTCTCTCTCCTCCCCAAACTTCTCTCTCTTTCTCTCTCTCGTGACTGACTCCGTTGGAGCACTGGCCATGGTCGGTTCCGGGGGTGTGCAGTGTATAAGAAGAGGCATGCATTCATTTCCCCAAAGAGGGCAAGACTCTAGTACATTGAGGTTGAGGAACTGAAAGGGTTCATGGATTTGGGTTTTACATTTGAGGAGAGTGAATTGAGTCCTAGATTGAAATCCATCATTCCCGGCCTCCAAAAGATGGTAAAGACGAAGAAGAAAGAGAATGAGAAGCAAGAAGAAGAGAATAAAAATATTTCCAGGCCATACTTATTAGAGGCATGGTTAGTGAGACAACCCGATAGCAAGTTGATTCAATGGAAATTGCCTAAATTGAGTCAAGGCATGGATATGAAGTAGAATCACAAACTTTGGGGCCATAATCTTGCCTCTATAGTGAGATAATGAGAGAGAAAGCAAGGTTTATAACCATTTTTCTACCCAAAAGAAGTTGATCTTTGTTGTCTGACCCATGGAGCTCTAAATATAGTTCTGAAATTATGAAAGTGGGTAGACCTGCAAATTACAAGAGCCTGTAAAGGCTTGCTTTTTGAATTCCTCAACAGAAGAGGAGAAGATGTTATTCTTACTGTTTTTTGGGATTAAATGTATTGCGTCTACCTTGATCAACAGAGAGGGACAGCTTTATCGCTTGTTTTTATGCTTGTGGGAAACATAAGGGGAGAGAGAGAGAGTGGGGAAATATTGGGAAACAAAAAGAGACGGGTTTGGGGAATCACGAAGGGAGAGAGAGTGTGTGGGAGAGAAGAGAAAAGAGAATTGGGAAAAACAGGGAGATAATGGGTTTGAGGAATATCCGTGAAGAGAGAGAAAGGATGGGATTTAAAAAGTGTATAGTTTTTTTTATATTTGTTTAGACTAAAAGATAAATTTAAAATGAATAAAGTTAATTAGGGAGGGCTTAAAAGATGTGTTTTGAAATATTAGATCTATATAGTAATAAAGCCTTAAAATGTAGGGTATGAAGATATTTTTCTTTTAAAAATTCAAAATTCGTGTGCGGTTACGTTATACTGTACAACCGTATGAAATCATTCCCCTTTTATTAACAAGACAACCGTATGAAATTATTCCAAGTGGTCGGTTCATACGTTCAACCAACCTAGTCAAACTGGCTTAAACCAATTGTTAAATATTTTACGTAGGAAACTACGCTTTTGTTGAGCCGATCATTTTACGCGGCTTCTTCGTCCAAGCCATCGAACCAGAATGTGTCCAATCCATTCAATCAGAATTAGTAATCCATTTGAGCTAGAATTTTTGTCCTTTTTTTGGGCATGTAAGGAAACTAGAGTTGCGAGACCTTTGATTTAAACGCATGCCCTTGACAAAATGACGCCACGTCGCCTTAAAGCGATAAAGAGCGATTGGACCGAACTAGTCGTTAGACAATGCGCGTTGATAGGTTTGGTTTTGGATAAAAATCGGTTAAAATTAAATCAAAATTAATATTTGAGCGATTTTGGTTTGTTTAAACTTGTTTAAAATTCAGTTGAAATTAATATTTGATCGATTTGAATGGTTAGATGAGCTGATTTTAACTAATTAAATAAAGTTGAAAAAAATTTTAATACATTTTATATTATTATTATAGATTTTTAAAATTTTTTTTAAAAAAAAAGTTTATATAAGGTTGCAACCTTATAATATAGAAGTAAGGTGCACCTCAAAAATTCAGTAGAAAAGAGTGTACTGAAGTTAGAAAACTTTCTAGTTGATCATCTTGACCTAGAGATGTATAGTGTAAAGAAAATAAATAATTTCAAGTCCTAAAAAGAATTCATTTTGTAACAAGTTACTTGGGCCGTCTATTTTCAAAGATTTTTTTCATTTATACATATACTTAATCTACACTAATTTTAAAATTTTAAATTTCATAATTATGATCAAACATAGATTTTCAACCCATGTTAAGTTTTTCCACACTTGAAACACATATTTCAGCAAAATTCATAGGTCGCCCTTATTCGTACCGTATAAGGTGGGAGCCTCTTTCTGAAATGATCTAACCATGGATGGTTGAAACAATTTTTAACGGACTAGATCGACACTCAGCTGAAAACGATACGCAGGTGGTGTACCCACGTCATCACCAAGGAAATAAAGGACAAAGCATTAGCGCAGAAATTGTCGGTGCACATTAACTTGTCTCCACCACCGACATTTACGCTCTCATACCTCATTTTGAGATTATAGGAATACAATTTTGGTGGTCGTTAGGGTTCAAATTGATCAATTAGCCTTGCAGCAACAATACCATTTTAGCGGATTTTGTTAAACCTTAAACCCTGAACCCTAAAATCTTCTCTATATGACAATCGGATTTTTTATTTAGAAAAAGATTGCGCTTAACAATCACTCCAATTTTTTCCTCCTTCAAGCCTGATTCGGATCGATCCATTTTACCGGATGATGAGATCTAGAATTCCATGATGCCGAAACTTTTTTAAAAATTTTTAATTGATAAGAAGTTGAATTTGCAACTCTCACAATATTTCCCCCAACTTTTGGAATAGGATCATGCAACATTACAATTTGATCCCCTGAGATCACGATGTTGTTTATTTGATCAATTATTGAGTACGGCTTATGGCATCCGTTTGAAAGGCTGACCATAATCCAAAGTCACAATTAATCAATCCCTGGATGGCTAGGACAGAGTAGAGTTCTCTATCGTACTACATATAGTACGCTGACCTTTCGTTTTCTCTATTGTAGGTCCTACACATCTTCCACCATCTGTCTTCATGATACACGGTGATGAACCAGGGCTCCTAGTTTATCACCCGAGCAAAGGACTTCTTCATTTGTACTGTTTTTTATATATTCTTCTCATTTGGATGTTGCATCTTTGTGTCTATTCAATGACTATATGAAATTTAAAAGATATAAATGATTATGATTTTTATGTATAAAAGATAAATGATTTTTTTATTGACAAGTTTTTTTTAAATTTGGGCCGTAAAAATTTAACCAATGAATCAAACCTCGTCTGATTTTGATTACACTTTGCTAGTACTTTAGGTTTTTTTGGTATTTTAAAAAAATTAAAATCAATGGTAAAACTAGATGAGTTCAAAGGGTTTTTAACTGGGATCGCCACTCACTATTTTGAGCCGACTAGGGTTGGCAATGGGTAGGGCAGCTGCCCTGACCCGACCTGGTCTGCTTGGCTTTGAAACTTTAGTCCTGGTGACTTGGCTTGACCCTCCCTATTTTTTTTTTTGTTGTTTTTATACGTCTAATAGGCCCAACTAACCCACTTTTGCCGGGTCCTAGCTAAGCCGGTTCTATAGGCACTAGGGCTAGACCCAGACTAGGCCGTGCATGTTGCCGGCCCTAAAGGCTTTTAAAATGCTGATACAAGCCGTTTTGGATAAGATAATAATGGTACATGAGAGGGGCATTCACCGCCTATTCCAAGCTTATTAACATAAAAGATAATCATAGTTTCGGATTGGCTGAGCTTTACCTAGGACAATGACATAGAATTGAGGGGAGTGGCCTGTCATCAAATAGTGTGTGTGATTAATCTCTACCGTCCATGGTACAGCATGCACCATACACAACTAACATATCTATATACTTTGTAATGGTTGGGTTGGCAATTTGTAGTTAACAATCATTCAAATCATCATAACCTTTTTCATATGTATTTATGTTCTTGATTATTTTTATTACTTCTATTAGTTTTTGTTAATCTTTATAAACCAGTTTTTATATTTTTTTTAAAGTGATTTACATATAGATCCTAAAATTTTAAGAAAAATATGAAATATTCCACTTTTATGCATAAATGACAAAGAAGGATGCTCAACTCACTTTTTTTTTTATTTTCTTCCAAAGCACCCCTTGGTCAATGAATTTTGAATTATTGTTTCGACTCTTTTTTAGTTTTTTTTGTTAGTAGGGCAGCATATTAAAGCTTGGGGAACTGTCCTACTGAAAAACTAAGAAAAAGAATCAAAATTTAAGTTGATCGAGGGGCAATTTGAAAAAAATAACAAAAGAGGTTGACTGACCTACTTTGTAAAACATTTCGTATTTTAGTTAAAATTTACCTGGATAACCGACTCGGTTGAATCCGACGGTTGAGCCGACTTTCAATACATGTACGAAATAGAAAATTAAGTTACAAAAAGAAATTCTCCAAAAAAAAAAAAAACGGAAAAAATTAAAAAATGATGTCTATTGGATAAGATGGGTAGCAAAGCAATGGTACCTTGGAGGCCAAGATCTGAAGTCCAGCATACTTGACATCCCAGCTAAACTCGGTTATGGCCCAGCCGATGCCCCCAAAGCACTCTGCGTTGTTAACCACGTAGGCCAAGTATTGGTCGTTCCCAGTGGCCTTGTAGAGCCACATTGCGGCCCACAGCAGCTCATCTCTGTACCCGCTCACCGACGCATAGTAACTCTTCACAGCACCTACGCTACCATCATACTTCCCTCTGTACATGTCGGCGAAATCAAACAACTGCACCGTCAATGTATGCATGTTCAGTTATTCCAATTATTCGAGGTTAGTTAAAATATTATTTTACATGCATATTTCAAAAATCAATTATTTTTCTATCACTGACTTAGACAATTTTCCAGTGATTTATGAGTCTTGAGATAGATGAAAGAGAGGGATAGGTCACCTCCTGGGCGTGGTGGAGGAGGAGATGGGAGTAATGTGGGTTGGAGTCCCTGAACGCCATGGACGCGGCAGCCATTGCTGCCGTGGTCTCTGCAGCAACGTCGGAACCTGGGTTTTGGGCATCGACTTTGTAGGCCTGCCTCGATGTCGTCATGTCCTCAGGCCTCTGCCAACAGTAGTGATCGGTATCCCCATCCCCTACCTAAACATATTCACAAACACAGGGAGAAATCAGCTATGACAAAGAATCACCAAAATTAATCAAATATTTTATCAGATTTTGAAACCTCTCTCTCTCTCTCTTTCTCTCTTCAATGGACAACCAAATCAAAATTTGGACACATAATGGGCCATTTTGGGTTCAGTTGAGTAGTAAGTGGTGAATAGGTTGGGTTACCTCGACCCAGAGGACATTAGGTTCGGTGTGGGCTTTGATGAAGTAATCGGTGCCCCATTTGATGGCCTCCATTGCATGAGCAAGCTGCCCTGCACCCTTCATCTCATCTCTGTACTCAACCACACTCCACGAGAGCATCGTAACAGTGAACGCCATCGGAAGCCCAAACTTAACATGATCCCCCGCATCATAGTAACCCCCAACCAAATCAACCTGATAAAAACCATTAAAAAATATGAACAACCTCTCTGATTTTTAGAGAGCAGCAACATTCTCACTTGGACCCATAGAAAGCACAATTTATAAATAAGTTTGAACTTCTTCTCTGAGAGAGAAAGAAGTTCTGATACCATAGGGAGAGATAGAGAGAGTTCTTACTCCTTGTTCGAGGCCGTCGGTCAGGCCGGAATGGTCTCTCCATCTTACCCTCTGATTGTACGGAAGCCGCCCCGATCTCTGAGCTTCGAAGTAGAGAAGGCTCTTTTCGAGTGCTTCACCGTAATTAAACCTTACAGCAGTGGCTGAAGAGAAGGCAATGAGAACGAAGAGGGTCGTTTTCGCCAAGAAGGAGCTGAGGCATCTGCTACTGCATTGCCTCCTAATCCCCATTATTGCCCCCCCCTCTCTCTCTGCTCTGCTCTGCAGCAAAATGAAAATTTGGGTGCCTTTCTTCTGAATACTCTTCCGCAACCAAGCTAAAACTGGTCTCTCTCCTATTCAATTCTGGTCTCAAATGGGGTAAAAGATAAACAAATCAATGATCTATGTTTCTATTTAGACAGAGAAAAGCACACATATGCATTGAGAGTGGATCTATAACCAGTACTTGCCTTCTCTCTCCTCCATTTGTTTATAACGCCTCGTGTTGAGGCAGCGCTCCCACTGCCCTTTCAACGGTATTCAATTTCTTAACTATTTCTCCTCAATTTTTTACCATTTGTGACCAAAAGGGCCCCACCCATATTTACTTTCTCTCTCCTCTGCCTTGATATTATGCGGAAGGCCTAAAGATAGTGTGTTAAAGCACATAGTTGTTTTTAGCTTTTTCTTTCTCTAAAGACGGGAATACCCCTGAAAGTTTTGGAATATGCCCGAAGTATCCTGACTTGTTAAGAAAGTGTCGGCCACGTATCGCATGCATGCTTGGAATGGTTAGGACTTAGGAGAGCCTTTCCAAGCAAGTAAACATGGGTGCCGTTATCTATATCTATAGAGGTAAGGTTCACTTTCATAGTCATACATCTTGATGTCGAGATGATCAATCAAAAAGTTTTTAGAGTTACTACTATTTGGGTCAATACTGAGGAGCTCTCAACTTGGGAAAATTTGTAATGTGAAAGGAGAATGGACTTGGAATGAAGTAAATATGATGAAAAATCTTCAATAGACTAGTAATCCGAAAGAAGAAAAGGACTTGGAATGAAAAAAATTAGACCTAGTAATTTTGTGCAAGAGAAAAATCTTAGACTTGGTAAGACTAGAATTTTTTAATATGATGTAATAAAATGGGTGAGATAACTCTGTAAGAAGATACAATATCACGAAGATGTTCTTATTAGAGTTAATAGAGAAATTGTCCAAATCAAACATTCTTTAATAGAGAAATTGTCCAAATCAAACATTCTTAGGCATTAAAAGAGGGGTGTGGTTTGTATAGAGCTAAGGCTCTAAACAATAAAAGTAAAGCGCACCTTCAAATAGTATCGAGAAATTTGGTTTCAATACTGAAAATCTTTGTGATAACCTTAAAATATATTTTCATCTTTAATTATAAAATTTAAAGCTTCAAAAATAGTGTAGATCAGGTAGATCTATAAAATCTTGACAATCTTGAAAATTGATGATCCAAAATGCTATACAAGATGTACTATTTCCAAAACTTAATATGGAGATGGAAAATAAACGAATTCCACGTAAAAAAAAAGAGTGCATCTTGTTACAAGTTATTTGGACCATTCATTTTCAAAATTTTGAAGTGCTTATTAATCTGGCCAATCTGTATCATTTATGAAATTTTAAATTTTATGACTGAGGATGAAGATATATTTTCAAACCATCATAAGCTTTACTACATCAGAATGACATCTCTATGCAAATTTTAGAGACGTGTCATACTTCTACAATATAATGATGCAACCTTATACAAACCTCACTCTTAAACGAGTTATGCAGTTTATTTTTTATTTTTATCATACGGTTGTATAAGGAGGAAATATCAACTATGTGCCTTTAATACAAGAAAGTTGCAATTATTCTTAGACATTAAATTGAAATAATCTAATTGCGGCCGCGCCATGGACCAAACCTTTTAAATGGTGCACCGTTTATATTAGTAAACTATACATCAACTTTTTTTCAGTGTGGGATGTATCTATTTACAAGCCACAAATGGGAGCACATATCTTTTATTTTGGCCCAGATATTTTGTTCCTTTAAATTAGTCTTACTAATTAAAAACATTTATTAGTTTTCTATTTAAAGATAGTGATTGTATACAATGAGATCGTTTACCTTTCATACAAGGTGGTCACAATTATTTACAACTATCTGATGTGAAATTTGACAGCTTAGATATTAATTTTGAGAAAATTTTATTTGAAGTTTGAACTTGATCAATGGAATAATTGCAACTACCCAATTTCACATCCAATGATCGATATTAATGTGGTCGGGCAATTATTTCATGCAACCGTTGTATAATAATATGATGCTACAGTCTTAAAAACCAATCCTATGACCATTTGTTTGATCCAAAATTTGAAATATACATTCTTTTCATTCTAATGACAAAAAAATAAAAAATTGAAAACACAAAGTAGAAAGTATTTTTTTAACCCAATTAACATAAGCCATTAATTTTAGTGAGATGCTTAGATCTAGGCCTTAGAAGGATTTTTTAATCTCCAATTTTTTTGGATGGCTTTATTATCACTAGATGAACAATGTTAAAAAAGAAAAAACTGATTTTGAGTTTATAAAAGTTAAGATCTTGAAATTCACAAAATGAATGATCTAGATTTGTTTTTAGAGGAGATTCATTTTGACCATATCTAGGGTTCAAATTGAATTTTTGTTTTTAAGGATTGATTTTTGAGATGAAGAGCGTGTGTGCAAAAGTTTGAGTCATACAAATACCACAAACATGATTTCTATATAGTCGTTACATTATACTATGATACAAACGTGGCCAAAGTAATCTATAATCCAATTACACTTTAGACAGTAGTCTAATAGAATTATAAAGCAATCATTATGATTAGCAATAATTATGATCCATTACCAGATGGAATATGACGCTCTATTGTCTATTTGATTATAAAAAAGATTATTTGTGTACGGTACACAATAGTGCCCATCAAATTCAATTTTTTCATTGTAAATACTTCTAGGGCATCTATGGTACATGTGAAAATATGTCATTTTGTAGAAAAACTACCTCACGTAATTCGATGCGGGAGTCTTTTCTGATTGATCCCAACAAATTTTTCACAGTAATTCGCTATTGAAAATACTTTCACAGAAATATTTGTGGAAGCACTTTCGCGTGTACCAAAAGTGTTCTTAGTAGAAATAAATAGTCGTCGTATGACTAGCGTTCATCCCAAAATCATGATTCATCCCATTTGTCCATTCATCTTGGGATTGGATAGCAGATGTCACAACTATGAATTTCTGTAGCAAGATTAGGATATAGGTATTGTTTATGTTTTTCAAAGGGAAGGCCCTAAAAGATGGCTTTTTTTATGGGTAAGTCAGTGGCAGAGAAAGCCCCCTATCCGTTTTTCATTAATTAAAATATGATGAAAGTAAACCTTATATTAGCGCAGTTGTGCCAGATCCTGAAATAACAAAGAAGAGATAAATGTGCGGTTTGTATAGAACCGTAGCTCTAAACAAACAAATTAGAACCCACTTTCAAATTGTGTCAAGAAATGTGGTTTCAATATTGGAAATCTTTGTGATAGCCTTAAAATATATTTTCATCTTTAATTATACACTTAAAGCTTAAAAAAAATTGTAGACCGAGCAGATCAATGAAAATATGAAAATCTTGAAAATTGACGGTCCAAAATGTGTTGCAAGATGCACTATTTCCAAAAGTTGAAATCCATTTTTTTTCCTATGTTCATGCATCTTGATGTCCAGATGATCAATTTGAGGATATTTGGACATCAAAACAACCTCTTCTAGTGAATTTTTGATGTGGGCTCTAATTTAATTGGTTAGAGCCTCGGCTCTATATAAACTTTTTCCGATAAAGTCTGGTGGACGACATAGCCAAACGGTAGGCTAGATAACATCCATACACCAATGTTCTATAAAATGTGTTAAACCATATGGAAAAAATTCACCATCCATATTCCTATTAATATGCCTAGCCGTATGCTAGAGAATATCCATCAAACTGTGATGAATCTTCACCATCAATCAATGAAACGGATTGTAAATCCCCTTCTAATGTACTGTTATAAACCATACCCACTTGTGTATGGTGCTGTATGCTCTCGTTTAAAAGTCAGTGGTGGGCCACCTTCCACGTGAAAGACGACTCCTCATATTCATCCCCTTAAAATTTAGGGGGAATGAACATTTTACTCGTGCACCTCCTGACTATTGTATTTGTGACTATTTTTTAAGCCTTCTTTTGGAAAAATTGATAAAGTATCTCTTGGGACATACCAATTTTAGGTGTTATGAGGGCATTATTGGCATTTGTAGAAAAAGACAAACATTTATAAAAGGGTAACTTGGCCATTTTCCAATGAATAATTGTGACATTTGCTTTGATTTTCGAAGTTTAAACTTGGGTGGTGGGGCTCTCCCCTTTGGTTAGGGCAAGTGAGATGAAAAGAAAAGAGGAGATATTGTGCTTATTTATGCTTTACTCTTATCCTTTTCTTTTTTATTTATTTATTGAGAAGCATTTGAACCCAATAAAAGCTATTTTTAACTTGCATTGAAGGCTCTTTGGGAACACCTAACACAAGACACTCAAATCCACTTGGATACACTTGCATGATTCTTTACACTTTTGATGGTGTAGTTGTACCAAGAGGCCTTCATATCCCAAACCACCCCTTCCTAGCTAATGGTTCTGGTCTGCCCGTCATTCCTTCCTAGCTAATGGTTCTGGTCTGCCCCTCATTATTGATGATACAACTTCCACCAAGGGATCTCTCTCTCTAAAAACACCTCTACAAAGGCCTTCATTCACTTTCTATAAGAAAAAATGTTACTAAGGTGTATGAACATTTGACATAGATACGACCATCAAAAGCAATATTATCAGGATCAGACTGGCCACCGAATACATAAAAAGGAAAAAAAATATAAATAATATTTTAATGTATAAAACATACTTCAAAATTTGCCAACTCCATTTAACCGGATGAATTATTTAAAAGTACTTAGGTTTGACTGATCAAAACTGGTCAAATTATAGCTTTAACGATTTTTAACCACATCCAAATTTATTTTAGAGTAGACTGGCCAAGGCATCTTTTAGCAGCCATACCACAGAGACCACCTGTTCAGTCTGATTTTTGATAACTATGGTCAAAGGGGCCAATCTTGAAATTGGTCATTCCAACACAATATAGCATGTAAATAGGGTGGTGGAATATTAGGAGACATTAATGTGCTTTTATAATGAGATTCCTATAAAAAAGATTACTAAGAAGCATCTAAATTTTAAAACGTCAAATACGAGCATTGTATCCTTGGATGTTTACATGCGTCAAAAATCCTATGCATAACATGTATATCTTACGTAGACTTAGGGGTGGATATGGGCCGGGTTTGGCTGGACCCGGACCCAGACTTAGACCCGAA